TTACAATTCTAATGTTAATGTAGTATAACTGTGACATATACATGTTTTGTAATTTGAATGTACATTACATGAAATTAAGTAGTTTCATTGCTTTCTCTGTCTTAAACCCCAACATTTTAGCTTTTCTCATGCTTCAGGTCAGAACACAGCTCGTTCCCTTTGAAATACTGGAAGAAAATCTAAATAATACATCTTTAAGCACTAATAATTTTCTATCACACTACAATATAAAGTGAAAACGTAAGAATTCATTTAAACTTTGACTTCATATAAAGTCTCAGCTTTCACAGCTTACTAGCGATATCGCTAGCTATTAATAGTCTGACACTGGTGGCTAATACGTTGACGTGCGGTCGAGCGGCCAATGAGAAGTCTAGGTATTTATTATGTCTATGTCTGATGCTACCTATTATGGTAAGAAACTGATCTGATCTGAACTGATCTGAAAGCAAGTGCTCTTCCGGCGAACGCGATTTTTTCCACCACAGCCCAGTTTCACTGGAAAATGATACGTCACAGTCCGTCACTGTCTGATGTTGAATTCCAAAATAAAAGCCCTCAAATACTCATATATATATTACAAGATAAGAGCCCCTCCCCCCTTCTCAATCTGAGGTGAAACTTATTCTGTGCAACCAAGGATTTTTATTTGTATAGCTTTTTGAATGCAGAGACACAGCAGCGTATGCATGAGAGCTGCTGGGGGCACTTATTTTGTAATATATATGAGTACTTGAGGGCTTTTATTTTGGAATTCAACATCAGACAGTGAAGGACTGTGATGTATCATTTTCCAGTAAACCTGGGCTGTGGTGGGAAAAAATCGCGTTCGCCGGAAGAGCACCTGCATTCAGATCAGTTCTTACAGTAATAGGCATTATATGCGCGACTCAAAAAATAACGTGGCGGCTGGTCTGACCGCAGTCATCTACGCAGCGTTTCGCGCATGACACGACGACGTTCGAGAAGCGCGGTGTTCAAGTCAAAATTACTTCAACTTTTTAAACGCCTCGATACCTTGTGTTTTCCCCCATTTTACTGCGCTGCGTCTCACATTTGAACGTGTTGTTCTCTGTGAACGAAAATATGGTAATATATGTGCCCCAGTAGAAAAGAATAGAAAAGCCCTTGAATTTTACAAAGTTAAACATGAAAAACTATTTTTGTGGCTTAATGTACTAAAACAACAACCAGGGACAAACAGATGTTTCTCACACTTGTTACAAACAGGGAATCAAACAGAAACAAAGTGTTATGGTGAGTTTTCTCCCCCACAGACCACAGGTAGAGATAACGCTTAGCCTACCTATCAGCTTACCTTGAGATAATGTTAGAATATTCATAATGAATGAGGCCCAAAGTCCTTTAAAAAATACAACAGTTCATTATTAGTTCATTTTAGATCAGTTCCATTAATTAATATTAACAGCACAACTTTTGATTTTAATAACGAATGTGTAAACGTTGAAACTAACATTTACTAAGATTAATAAATTATTGGGTTGTTTTTCATTCTTAGTTCATATTAATTACTGTAGTTAACTAAAGTTACGAAATTGAACCTTATTGTAAAGTCTATGAGGGAGAAATCAAGTAATGTACAAATACTGTCTTTATCCAGATTGATTAAAATCGCATTGTTTTGGCAGCATAGTGTTTATGTCAAAAAATAATTTGTGAGAGAATTTTGTACATTAAGCCATATGATGGGTGTTAGTCCTAAACTATGGTGTGCTGCCTACCTGGTCAGTTCAACCATGCACTTACCTGCCATTTCTCTCTCTTTCTCCTCTGGAGTGACCGTGAGATTCCTGTCTGTCCTGTGACTTGATTAAATCAGGAAGCGTATTGTAGCACATAACACATTTGATCATGACACAGAGAAAGGAGGGGAGGATCTGTAAATGGCTTGAATGTGGCCTGCAGGGTGGGAAAAAGGAGTGAGACGCTGATGGTTCAGATTTCCTCAGAGTGCATAAAGTTGACAAATATCTCTTGACCACTGATGGTGTCGAAAATGGATACCATATGCATACAACTGTTGTTTAAAGACAAAACAAGCTCATCATTCAATGAATCAAAATTTAAAGAACTGAAGACTCACACACATTATAAAAAGTAATGACATATTGTGCAGCAAGTAAGATATAACTATATTATTGTTTATTGACATTTATACAAAAATACAGTGTTTCACAGTCTGATAAAAGTAGCAGGAACTAGTAGATAAAACTGCAGTCAGCAGATGTGGACAATTCCATCAAGGGATTTTCTCAGCACATAGTGTCCTTGAATTAAGAATACGGCTCTGAAAAACACAAACATGCCAAAAAGATGTCAAGCTGTAGCTCAAGAGTTTAACATAGACTGTGCATATAAAATATCTAAATGCAGTTCATTACTTGAATTGAGCAATGAATTCCTGAAGCTGTAGCTCTAACTTACCCGTTTCTCTTCAGGGGTCAGCAGCCCTTCTACAGCAACCACTTGATACTGTCTGTGTTTTAGGCCACCGGAGAATTTGCGCATACGTCGTACCATGGTAGCTGCTGTATCCTGCGACAGCACTCTCATTTCTCTGGGTGCACACCCCGGATCGAAGAGGAGCAGGCACAGGTTGCCATTTACTTTCTGTTCCACTCCTATGATTGAGCGACTGTGGCCTGATCATAAAGACATGACAACACGTACGTCATCTTATAAAGGCAATTCTATTTCTCTAAAGGCTAATAATCTTGAGTTTCATGAGAGATAATACATTTACTTAATTCTTATTAAAGTGCTGTAGTTTACAAGAGAAATCTTGAAATACCTTGGTGCTGGAGGTATACAGGTGGTAATGTCGTCTGCTCTACTTTGGGTGGCAGTCTTGCAACCCTACTGGCAGAATGTGAGAAATACTGTTTCACCCACTCAAACAGTCTGGGGTGCGTATCTCCTGGGCCAGTGGGCTTGTGAAAATCCACAATTCGGGCTCTAAATTTTTAAAAGAAAGTTAAGATGTGAAATTAATAATATTTAAGCTATTTACATGGTTTATAATGATTGAGGTTGGTAAGATTTTTTTTAATGTTTTTGAAAGAAGTCTCTCGCCAAGGCTACATTTATTTGATCAAAAATACAGTAAAAACAGTTATACTGTGATAATTTTTTTTTTTTACAATTTAAAATAACTTTTCTGTTTTTGTATATTTTAAAATGTAATTTATTCCTGTGATGGCAAAGCTGAATTTTAAGCTGCCATTACTCCAGTCTTCAGTGTCACAAGATCCTTCAGAAATCATTCTAATATGCTGATTTGTTCCTCAAGAAACATTTCTTCTTATTATTAATGTTGTGCTACTTAAAGGGGTCATATGATGCAATTTAAATGTTTCCTTTCTCTTTAGAGTGTTACAAGCTGTTCGTGCATAGACAAGATCCCTAAAGTTGCAAAGACTAAAGTCTCAAACCCAAAGAGATATTTTTATAAAAGTTACGACTTGTCCACGCCCTCCTAAAATGCCTTGTTTAAACACGCCCCCACGTCTACGTCACGATGTGGGAAGATTTGCATAACACCGCCCAAATGTTCATGCAAAGAAAGAAGGCGTAACTTTTATTCTTGCTGTAGTATTGTCGTTTCTCCGATCACAAATGCAGACATGGTTTTATGTTTACGCGGCACGATACGCAATACAACGCGTAAAAAGACAGTACAAGTCATTATAATCAGTAATTATGTCCCCACTGGATGCAACAAATGCCTCCTTTGTAATGGGCCTTATTGGTGTCGTCTCATCGCGCAGGGACACGGCATCACATTCACAGTATGGTAGGGGCGTAATATTTCCGTCACACGCTTGAGGTATTCAGCCAATCACAACGCACTGGATAGCTGGCCAATCAGCATACACCTCTGAAGGATCCTTAGATCCTCACGTGCAAATTGTGTGTGTTGGGTTTTATTTTTTAATTCATTTATAATAATTTATTCACATAATCATTTTATAATAATTAGTCATTCATATGATTTATTATTTGATTATTTTTACCATTCATTATATAATTTAAGTATTTTTATTGTATATTCATTTATTATGTTTATTCATTTATTATGTTTCTGTATATTATATTTCTTGTTAATTTTTCCTTTTGTATCTCCATTGTTGTTCAATCACATGCTTGTGGGGTTTCATGAACTGTTTTATCTGTATGAATAGAGATAGATAAGAGGGCATGTTTATGGAAACCCAAGGTTTATGTGATGTTGTTGTGACGCAGTTTTGGTATAACAGTACATGTTGAATTTGTGCTGATCAGACGAAGTTTGAACATTGAGACATATGCAACTAAGATTGTTCAATAAAGGCTGTTACTTTTTACCATCATCACTTCGTCTCCTGCTTCTGCTCTTCTCTGGCTTTCCTCAGACAGCT